GTGCTGGCTTTGATTAGGTTTAATGTTGAACCACAACGTTTGTGGGTTGGCACACAAGAGACTAGGGCATACCAATTCACGGTAAAAATTGTGACAATGAAGGCATGATAGGATGATATAGGAAATGTGAATAGCCTAGGGCAGAAGGGGAGATACCACAATTGTTTATTACATGTTTGGTCAAAGGATGGGTTTTACTTGTCTCTTTGATGAGCTATACTATGTTTCTACAAATGGCGAGTCTCTCTGACAATGCCGACTAAGATGCCGGCGAGACGTCTGAGTAAGTATCACGTACACGGTCCTACTCTGGAAATGATGATGCATACAATGGACTTCGGACTAGGTACGTTCATCTAAGTCTTTCTAACAATATGACCATTTTACGAAAACAAGGTCAAACATTTTTAATAGATATTTGTACCTAAATTTCTTGCTAAATCCGGGTTGGAAAGAGTTTATAACACTAGTGAATTCAAATCTAGTAGGATGGATTTCTCGAGGCAATTAGGACTGGATTTGAAACAAATCACAATTAGAACTATGTGGTAGGCACATATACATCTATTTGGGAAACCTATGCTGGTACTACATTGTCAAATTATCATCTTTTGGGATAAAATAGGAAATTTCAAAAAATATGTTTAATTAAAATTATTTTGGTCAAGGTAGTAAGCTTTATAAAAATTAATTCAAAATCCATTAAAAAAATTCTTACCTCTGATAGTCCATTCAAATGTAGTGTTACAACTGCTTTTTGCTCCGGAACTTTCACTTGCAGCTTAGACGGTGCATCTAAAGCCAAGGATCTTTGAACGTTTTCTATTCGATTCATGTTTTCAAGTTTTACTGAGGAATGAGAAAACGGAAAAGCAAACCATTTGTATCAATGAATGTTGTCAACTACTGTGGCATTTTAGGTTAGATAAAGTGAAAAAAGTTTAAATGTTAAAATTTGAGCCTGACAAATTAATAAAAAATCTTCCAAGACTCCTTAATCTGTATTATTATCGATACAATATAGTATATTTGACATCGGTAACGACTTATAATTAAGAGACTTTCACTTACATACTTCTAATCCTTGACCACGTTCTCTGTATTGACAATGTTCTTGGTCTATGCACAGCTGATCCTGAGCATGAATATGAACATTAAAACATGTAGTTCCTAGATCTTGCTCATTTTGGAGTTGGATGTTAGATAATATTTCATGCCTATATTGTGATAGTGATGAAGAAGGAATGGGATAGCCAGGAAGAGCAGGAGGAAGAGGAAGAGGAGAGGTTGAAGGAAAAGGAGCAGAAAGGTTTTCCTGATTGAGAAAGAAAAATGGGGGGGAAGGAGGGGGTGGGAGAGGAGGAGGGGGAGAAGGAGGAAGTTTAAAGAGTAGAGATTCTTTTGGGGAGGCACTTCTAATAAGGGGTTGATTTTGGTTATGAAAATTGGAATGCAGATGTTGCGTAGCTGTTTTATTATGATGCATCTGGCTCGCAACAGGTGAAAATTCAATTACAGAAATTGTGGGCGATTGATGAGATTCCACATCAAAATGCCTCCTCTCCTGTACGCTGAGTGATTCCTGAGAGAATGGTAAGATGGAGGGATGATACTTTTAGGGTCACTTTGTTTAAAGTCAGTAGAAGGGCAATTTTAAAAGTGAATATTTTGTTTATACAATAGAAATATATCTAGGATTATGATATTAATCATTTGATCATTATAATAAAATTCTATATATGTAAAGAATATCTTATATCTAACTTTCATATGTCATGGTAGAACTTGCACCTTCATGCCAATGACGAGACAAGGAAATATTATCCTCATCCTTTAAACTAAGCCATTATTTTATTAAGGATATTTTATTAAATTCACGATATAATACTCTAAATTCATACGTTTTTTAATTGTTTGATCAAAAACATGTATAAAAATCAAATGAAACGTATTTAGGATATCATAATTTATGCAATCAGAGCCAGAGTTAAGGTTCAGTCATGGCCTATTAATGATTTAATTTCTTACCAAGGCTTTTCATGGCCAAACAGAGGTTTGATTTATACGGAAAGCTTATTTGAATTTCCAATATATTTGAGAATTAAAACCAGAGTCAACTGCCAAATGGAGGTATTTTTCCAGACTCAATTTGCTGTGCTTTCTGATTCCAGAGTATTCGTACATATATCTTATCAATAGCTATGGAATTATAAATGCCTATTGAATTAACCGAGCCCATAAACATATGGGGAGATACGATCAAATGGGCTTAGGACGAAGTTCTAAAAAAAATTTTTAAAAGAAACCAAGAAATACAGTTTTACTTGTTAATTTTTCCTCTACATCTATTATTGCATCAAGGTTGGCGTATATGAAACGAAATGGAATGTGATATTCGCATTTATCAGACGTATATAACCGGGATCGAGAGTTAAAACGGCTAATAAAATTTTTATATCATTAAAATTATAAATAAGGTTTATTTAAATACTATCGAAGAAAATCATTAATCTAAGCTACTGGAGCTACCGTTCTGTCAACTTTCGTAAATGACAGGCAAATTACTGCATAAGTAGAGCACCAGGACTATTTTTAAAGAAAGACAATTAATTTTTTAGAATTCTGGGACCCCAGCTTAGATAAAGTATCATGCCCAAGTATTAGGAAAAGGTTTGACAAACTTTAGATCTGCTTTGGGCTTATAAGTTTTGCATACGCAAACATAAAATAAGCATCACTATTACAGGATCATATACTACTTTAGTTACATTAGCGGACAGCTACGACCACGTTCGTTCCCTTTTCTTGCATTAACTTTACTCATTTGCATGCATATAAGGTAGTCACGAACCAGTCAAGCAAATCATGTGATCTCGAGAAGCAGAATAGAGAAAAATCTCTGGATAGATTTATGTGAGAATACCCTTTCCTCAAGCTTGAAAAGGCGAGTGAAAGTGATTCGTAAGTTGATCTTATCGAAAGCTGAAGAGGGATAGCTTCGGAGCTGCGATTAGATTTATGCAAATAAGTTCTCAGCAAACAGATTTGCAACATAAATGAATCCTTTCTAAGCGATATTTTCCCATATAATCTAACAATAACAAACTGATATTAAAGCTGCATTCACCCTATTTCGATTAAGGTGATGAAGGACTGGTGGTTGACATTTACTGCAATGACTTGAGCTTGCGCTTCCATTGAATTAAAAATAGCTTTGCTTCCTAAAAGGTATTCTTGACAATCGGTTTAGCAACGAAAAATAAGCAATATAGTTGATTTCTATGGCAAATACAACTTTGATTCACCAACAATCCCAGCACAGAATGTAATGTGGGAAAATGCTTGGCCTCCCTTGAAATTCACATCTGGCCTCTCATTTAAGGGCACTATTGGCAATCTGGCGTAGTGGTTAGCATGTCGAGATTAATTGCTGTGCTACCAGGGTTTGAATCTTGCTTGGGGTGCGGATGAGAACGAGATTAGGTCAAAGGTTAAATCCACTTAGGCTGTGATGATAACGCCTTTTGAGAAACAATAGTATGTAAAATTCAATAAAAAGTGTAAGGCCTACTTATATGACTGTAGAAAAATTCAAATAACCGTCCTTCATCACCTTGAACGAAATAAGGTGAATTCAACTTTTATATTATATCTACCGGTAGTTTAAAAAACCTTTTTAATAAACGAAAAATAAATAATAATTTGTTTCTTAATCGGACAAACCTTAAAATAATGTGACATCTTCATTTTAAGGCATTTATTAATAGATGGGAATATATTCGTGTAATATTGTTGTAAATATTATTTGCCGCATTTAATTATTTGTTTCTAATAAAATATTTATAACAACATTCATCAAATATTCTGGTTACGGGATATTAGGTCTTAAGACTTTAATTACGGATAATTTTGAAATTCTCAAAGGGTAAATGAGGTAATTTTAAGTACTACACAGCGAACTTGATTAAATTTAATTCCTGTTTGCATGTATCCTTAAACCAGCTTCGATGTTAGGGGCCGGTTACTAAGCCAAAGTTGAGCTGTTTTAACTGGCTAATGCTTTAAAGCAAAAAAGTCCTACAGTCTCTTTTCAGGCCTACCAATTATGTTGTTGCCGAAAGTTAGCACTATTATAAGAGATTTAACAATGGCAATCTTCAAGTTGTTCAAAATCCATTGGTCTGTTTTATTATCTACAGCTGGCTTCTTGATGCACCATAAACTTTAAAAGATGAGCAAACTGTTTGCTCTTTACCTGCACCATGATATAGTGCTCATCTTATGAAGACTGTCATCAAGAAGTATGTGCTACATTTATGCATTGTAATGGGTTATGTTACAACGTTTGGCTACTTTTATTTCAACAAGCTCAGAATTGATCTATCATTAATGCTGCATTAATCATAAAAATTACAACAAATTCACTCTAGAATTCGCTAGATTTTTTATCTACACTTAATTTACATTTATTTAATTTCAAAAGAAGATAATTTTTTTATACACATAATTTTATTATCGTATAAATATCCCGCATTAACTTTAACTTATCTT